GTTGCTGCGCTGGACACTGGATTGCTAGTCGGTCCTTGGTGTAACAGTGAACGATGCCGTTGCTGGCAGACTCGACAAGTGGCCGGTGATCCACAGTTTTCAGCCTTATAAGCTGTAGACATACAATTTGTGCACGCTCCTACTTGAATAATAGCTTGGCGCCGAGTTTTGGGGTCAATATTCTGGAAACGGCTACATGCTCTAAGATGATGTGGTCCTAGGTGACAAATCTTACAGCTCTATTCGTTTTGAACTGACTGAAGGCAAAGTGTTGCTGTAGGTTTAGGGCTTATCGTCTCCAGCATGCAAGCGCGCCGCTCAATAAACGTCAGTACACTCCATAACGTTGGAATTTCCGTTGGTGCATCCGCTGAATTTTCTAGAGCAGCTAGAGACTGCTGGTCTAGTTTTTTCTGATAAAAAACACAGGATTGGATCCCAGGATTTTGTGCTGATATCGAGGTTTTTAAGAGTACTCATTGAGTTTTTATAGTGTCATGTTAAGCCCTTAGTTGGTACCTGGCCTTCAATCGCAACCATGTGTCGTCATAGCCACCCTGTGAGAAGGTTGTGTCTGTCAAAACGTTTCTCTTTCGCGAAGCGAACTCTGTAGAATATGTAGTTTTTGGAGTTGTACCACTACGGAATGCTTATTGGCGGATGTGCTAAGTTTTGGCTTCTTGGAGCGTCTTTTTCTCTAAGCAGGTTCATTTCGTATTCCTCGTATAGTGTGTGGAATTGGGTTACCTCTGCTTCTGCAAGAGCTGATGCCCCAGGTATGCTATCCAGTTCGTCGTGGGCTTGTCTCAGTAGCGCCCAATGGAGGTCCAGGTGCCTTTGTAGAGCTGGAGTGACCGATGGAGCATTAGAGGCCAATGTTAATGATAATTCCAATTCGTTGCATCTTCTCTGCAACTGTCGTATAACCGTGTCAAGTGCGGAGTCTCTCTTGATTTGATCTCCTGTTGTAATCTTCATGTTAACCGAAGTTCGCCTGGGGGCCTTTGGAAGCCCGCTTCCAGTCGGCATGTTGTCCAGAAATATTTTTTGATATTTTTCGACCAGCTCTTAAGTGCAACTAGTCGTGACGCGTATTCACTTCCAGTGGGTAATGCCGTTTGCTGGACTTCTTCATCTAGGTCACAAAACTGCTGCCAGAGATCGTTTAACTTATTGCCGTCTCGGTGGCGTCGTTCGACCGAATCCTTGCCATAATTCTTTATGGGCTGTTGGATCTGTACTTGTAGCTCATTTTGGTTGTCTAGTAATCGATTGTGTAAATAGATTCTTGTGTGACTTGCTTTCTCTATGAATGATGTAGACATGATGTGTGTCTTGGAAACGAAGATTCCTGTGAAGCCGGATAAAGCTGTGAGTCCTGTGAAGCTGGATGAAGCTGTGCATCCTGTGAAGCTGGATTAAGCTGATGATCCTGAGAAGCTGGATCAAGCTGCGTATCCTGTGAAGCTTGATGAAGCTGAGTATCCTCTGAAGCTGGATGAAGCTGACGATCCTGTGAAGCTGGATGAAGCTGAGAATCCTGTGAAGCTGGATGAAGCTGATGATCCTGTGAAGCTGGTTGAAGCTGAGTATCCTGAGAAGCTGGATGAAGCTCACGATCATGTGAGGCTGGATGAAGCTGAGTATCCTGTGAAGCTGGATTCAGCTGAGTAACCTGTGAAGCTGGATGAGCTATGGTTTAGACATGGTAGACACTCGGAATACGATAACAATGGTTACTGCGATGCCGAACCACAGGCGATGCGGGAACTGCGCTGAGGTTGACCTAGCTGATAGTTGAGATAGTGTAGTACGAGTTCTATTCCCGGGATGGAAAGTACAACCGCGGAGTTATGAGTTGCGTTGATAACAGATTTATTTTTTATTTGATACATGCTTGTATACTACTTGGAACACGGAAGTTTAGTGTAATGATTAGCTTAATATATATTAGCTTATGGTATATTCTAAAGCAGGTAAGGGAATTTTGATTATGGTAGCAGCTGCGTAATTGGCTCGGCTAACACTGCTAAATGTGCTGACTGCATTGGCGGGTCAGTGTACCGTTAAGTCGGCGAGAAGGTGAGTTAGTGAGACATATGATATACTGATCAGCAATTCTCATCTGCAGTGTGTGCTACTGAACACCTGGTACTGTTCCCAACTTGGCTACTGCTTCCATTCCATGTGATGGAATAATAGGCATGGACTTCATGGAAAAATATAACTGTCAAGTAGACTTAAAACCAGAAAATGATTTGCTCATTCTGAGACCAGACAATCTGTATAATCGCAACAACAACAAAATACACTTCAAAACAAATCAATAATTTTGCCAGCTAGATCCGAAGTCGTCTGAAAAATTTCTATTTTATAGCAGCAACCAGGTATATATAAACCAAGCCAAGATTTAGAAAATGGAATTTTCATTTGAGACTCCATTTCGGAGTCTGAAAACGCCTATGTCCGAATCCTAAATACAACAAATAGGATTGTAATGGTTAAATTAAACACATTAAAGATTGAACCACTAGATGACTAAAATTTAATAGAACCCAATCAAAACACAGACCATAAAGAAGTCCTAGCCAGACTAAATAACAATTTTCCACCTCAACTTAAATTAAAACTTGCAGAACTGTGTACCAAATGTACAGACTTATTTGGTATAAAATCAGAATCAATATCTACCAAGCTTACAAATTTATTACAGATAAACTGTAGAACCTTCAGTATCAGAATACAATAGTTGTCAAATCAATAAAAAACTATTATGTGATAAATTTTCACCATCATATTACTTATTAAGATCTGATGTCAGGACTTCATCAAATATAACTGTAACAAAATTCCAGAAATATAACGTAATTTATACGAGCAATGACTCCTATCGCCTCACTCGATTACCTTATGGTCTAAAAATAGCGCCGAATTCTTTTCAAAGAATGATGACAATCGCTTTTTCAGGTATCGAACCTTCGAAGGCATTCTTGTATATCGAAGACCTAATTGTCATCGGATGTTCGGAAAAACGTATGATTAAATACCTTACCAACGTATTTGATTTATGCAGCACATCCTTAAAAAACCCAAGAAACTGCATTCCTCACACACAAGGTAACCTTCTTAGGTCACAAGTGCACTAATAAAGGTATTTTACCGACATTACGAAATATGATGTCATAGAAAAATACCCAGACACAGACAGCACTAGAAGATTCGTTGCATTTTGCAGTTATTACAGACGTTTTACAAAAAATTTCTCCGATTACTCTTACCTAGAGTATGCAAAAAGAATCTGAAATTCGAATGGACAGATAATTGTCAAAAAGGATTCGATTATTTGAAAGTTTAATTGATGAAACCGACATTTTTACAGTATCTCGATTTTAATAAAGAATGTTGCATAACAACATACGCAAGCAAACAAGCACGTGGAGCTTTTCTAACTAAAAATTATAAGGGAACTTAAGGGAAAAGAAAACCAAATAAACAACGCGCTATCTAGAATAACTATCAAAGATTTAAAAAACCGAAGTGTTCGGAGCAGATCGCCAGCGCCTAGTCATGCGCGCATAGGTGTACGACGGCACCTGCAGCGCTCTCTGCTTATCTTTCGCCTTCTTTCTCATACCACTAAAGCTGTCGCTTATCTATTCAGCAACTACTTTGTAAGCCTGCATATGTCTATATGAAGATCTTGGAGCCAAGCTTTTTACACATTCACAGTCCGTCTGCCGCTCCGAATAAACGCTATACATTTTAATATAACCTATTCGTGCGTTATTAATTATAAATATAAGGGTGGCATATTTGTTGTCTTCCCCACAAACATTTGGTGACCCCGACGATTGTTTAATATAGTTTAAACAAACGCTTTGTTTCGCTGTCGTTATCGTGCATTCGGTCACAAACATACGAACATACATACATACATATGTGCATATAAAAGTGCATAGCCGGCCGTTGGATTTTTCGTACATTTTGCGCTGTAAAAAAAACACCAAAACTGTGTTGTGCAAACAATTCTTAACAAAGTGAATCGCATTTAATCTTTGTTAATAGCGCATATTACATATATATATGTACATATAGCCATGCATACATTCGTTTGCCAGTTACATAATCCGCTGTTGCTAGGCAGGCAATTTATCGGCAAGAACAACAACCACCAAGTTAAAGGTTCCGTTGCATCTCGGCGACGCTTGTTAACCTTCACGTTTTCGCGGCAAAGGGTATACGGTGTTTTGTGCCTCTAACGCGGTCGGACATATTATTTTATTTCATTTTCATTTCATTTTTTTTCCTTTCTCGTGATTGAAAAATGTCTGATACGGAAAACTCGGTTCGGGCTCAAAATGAATCCACAAGTGACGTCGACTACTACCGAGTCAAAGCCCAATCTATTTTGCGGCAAATGAGCTCGATGAAATGCTATTTAAACGCTGATGCGGTTAATCAGTTTGACGAAGCTGATTTGCTGGCGCGAATGGAATGGATCAATTCCTTAAACCAGGCATTTGATTCTGCGCAGACATCGTTGGAAAGACTGGATTTTGCAGAGATCTCGAGCGACCATCGGATTGAATTTGCTGAAGTCTTCATGGATGTGAAGGCGAAACTAAGCCGAGGCTTGGCGGCTCATCGCAAGTCACAATTGCCGCACCCAAAAAAAAAACCAAAAGTATACACTTAATAAGCGTTGTGTTAAAAGTATACTAAAGTTAGTATAAAAATGTAAGTATTAACTCAACACTAATTAGTTTCAACTGTATACTTTGTAGTGTAAGTGCTCTACCAAAGAGTATAAAGCGTAAACCTGTAGTGTTATTTTTAAACTAGTCATATTTGACTATTTAGTTTATAATTTATACTTTTGGTTTCAACAAAAACTTAATGTAGTATAAAGAAAATGTAGTTTCATGCCAACACTTTATAGTATTAAGCTTATACCAATTATTATATGAGTGAGACTCTGTAGTATAAATAGTATACTGAACATTAAATAGTTTTTCATGGTGTGAAACTAGGACAATAGCGAATATTCGAACATATATTTTGGTGTAAAACCAGGACAATAGCGAGTATACGAACACAGAAAATGCTACCGGAGTTGGCGTTGTTTGACGCGTTAATGATTATTGTGATGATTTATCTCGGTGAGTTTGGTCCCGCATTTTTGTGAATTTTGTGCCGAGTCAACATGTAAGTAAAATATTTGTTCTAAAATTAAAAAAAATCAATATTATATTGTCCCTGTTGGTAAATTTTGTGTGTATTGTGTATTTTCAGATGCAAGTGCTTTGCGCACGCGTACAGATGCATAACGCGAAGGAGCTAACGAACTCGACGTACCGCCTTTGTGCTGTCAGAACAGCGAGTGCCTTCCGGACGACGCAGCGCTCGTCATTGCAGGCCAAGTTCCCCTATGTGAACTGGTGCGGGAGCCACAGAACCAAGACCGAGGTGAAGAGGAGTGCCAGGATGCAGAGCGTCGACAACTGGCAGGCAGCCTGGGACAACTCCAGCAAGGGACGCTGGACGCTGGACGCAAGGATAAATAGGAAGCACGGCCAGGTAGATTTCTACCTCACGCAGGCGTTGAGTGGACATGGTTGCTTCCGAAGCTTCCTTAAGCGCTTCGGACACGACATGGAGAACGGTTGTCCAGAGTCCGGCAGTGGGATTGTTGAGGACGATCAGCATGTCCTATTTTAATGTCACCGCTTCGGGTCTGATCGCCAAATGCTGATGAAGACCACAGGGGCAAGGGTTCGGCCAGCGACGGCAGCCTACGCAGCGAGTGTACTGCGAACGCTGCATCGCATCGAGAATGAGAGGAGAGAAGCTACAGCCTAGGTGGCTACCATTGCGCTAAGCAATACCTTGCGGTGATACCGCGCAATCACGGCCCCTACTCTTGTTGCTTGTACTTATTTTAGTCTGTATATAGGTGTTAGGTAAAGGAATATAAAAAAAAACACGATGGAGCTAAAAACATGAGTTTTGTTTATGAGTTTTTGAGTTTATGAAATAATAACAAAATAATATGTCAAATAGTAATAAAAGAAAAACAACATACAACTTGATTTTATTGGGTTTGGGATACCACGAAAAACAAAATAGTATAAATTTTATACTACAGGCAACGGGGAAATCGTATAAGTTTTATACGAAATAGTAAAAAATGTATACTAACGATTTCGATAAATAGCTTAAAAAGTATACTACGGCTCTCTAGATTAGTATAATATGTATACAAAATAGTATAAAACGGAGACTACATAGGATAGCTTTTATACTAAATAGTATAAAAAGTAAACTATCAGCATAAATGTCAGTACACTGAGTGAGTATAAATTGTATACTCGTTAGTTTAACTTTGATAACTTCGAAAGTTTCAGTTTAATACTTTCGGTGTCATAAGGTTAATACGCATCTTATCAAGATATTTTTGACACTCAATAGTTTAGTTTTAATGTACGAATAGTTTAGTTTCTATGATCATTTTTTTTTGGGTGCGGCTTCAACCGCTGCAAATTCAACATCTATTGACATTACTAATAATGCGGATCTTTCTTTTCGATCTAGGAAGCCTCGGTTGCCAAATTTGGAAATTGCTCGTTTTCATGGCTCGTACTCTGAGTGGCCGGATTTTCTTGCGACTTTCACTACGGTCATCGGAAATGATGATGAGCTAAGCGACATTGAAAAATTACAATATTTGCGTTTGAGTTTGGGCGGCGTGGCTCTGGAAACCATACGCTCGCTCGAACCCTCGAATGCTAATTTTAAAAAGGCTATGAATTTGCTGGTTAATCGATTTGATAATAAAGTTTTACACTTTCAGGCACATGTTCAGGCAATATTCGGTTTAAAGGGTGTCGAGAAGGGATCTTCGAAGGGTCTTCGGGAGCTGAGCGATTGCATGAATTCGCATCTGCGAGCAATTCGAACCCTGGCCAATACGCAACAAATTTTGGATGGACTTTTAATTCACATCGTCACTCGGAAACTGGATCAGAGGACGCGGGAAAAATGGGAAGAGGATTTGTCAATCGCTGAGCTGTCTACCTGGGATGCTATGGAGTCGTTTTTGGAAAAGAGGTGCAGGATGATGAAAAACTTGGATCAAGCCTTGGTAACTCAAACACCAGGCCAGCAGGTGGGAAAAAACTTGCACAAATATAACCAAAATACACTTGTTGCATCTGCTACTATTTCAAATCATTTGACATGCTTATTTTGCGATGCACGGGATCATTATTTGCCAAAGTGTTCTCGATTTTTAAATTTGAGTCCGAATCTTCGATAAAGAGAAGCAAAGAAGTTGCACCTTTGCCTCAACTGTTTGCGCAAGGGGCATAGTTTGCAGCAATGCAAGTCGACTCACTGCAAGTATTGTCGCATGAAGCACCATTCATTATTACAAATGAACCATGACCCATCCGCAACATCAACCTCATTTTCATCTCCATCATGCGACCCATCCTCGAGCTCTCAGCCATTACCATCTACTTCATCAGCATTAGTATCATGTTCGCATACATCATCGCATCCTGATCATCATTCACCAAGCCCTCCACCCAAAACCTTAAATATTTTGCCGATCGACTACGTGTTGCTTCCAACTGCTATTATCTACGTCAGAAATAGAATTGGAGCATTTATGCCTTGCCGAGCAATTTTAGATTCGGCCTCCCAGCTAAACTTCATAACCTCTCGCTTAGCTAGCCAACTAAACTTGAATCACAGAAGATCGCAAACGTCGATTTCTGGGATAGGAGAATCTTCCATGGTCTCTGATAAGACTGTCGATATTCTTGTGCAATCACGGGATGCAAGCTATCGTGCGGCATTCACAGCGGTTGTGACTCACAGTATTACTGATTATCAACCCCATTTCAATATAAATGCAACATCGTGGAGAATACCGGAAAACATTTCACTCGCTGACCCTAATTTCAATCAATCACAACGAATTGGCCTTTTACTCGGCGCTGGGTTGTTTTTCGAAATAATTTCTATGGGACAAATTCATTTGGATAGGGCTTTGCCAACTCTTCAGAACACCAAGCTTGGTTGGATAGTCTCTGGAGGGTTATCATCGAACATGCCAAATCATAAATCGGTTTTTCAAGCCACCATCAACGACCCAGCTGATCATTCCGATGACACACTTTCCGCCATTGTAAAACGATTTTGGGAAATTGAGGACTTCACTTCGTCTAAGCCATCTTTATTGCCGGAAGACTTGCGATGTGAGCAACTTTTTAATGAAAATTGCATTCGACTTGGAAACGGCCAATACTCTGTTCGTCTCTTGACCACTTCCGGATTCGAATCTTTAGGTGATTCTTATTGCTTGGCTCGTCGTCGTTTCAAGAGTTTGGAAGCTAAATTAGATAGAAACCCAGCCCTGAAAGCTCAGTATTCAGCATTTTTGAGGGAGTATATCGACCTAGGTCACATGTCTCTTGTAACTAAGGAACCGCCAGAAACACAATTCTTTTTGCCCCACCATTGCGTACATAAGGAGAGCACGAGTACGAAGCTTCGTGTCGTTTTTGATGGATCTGCTAAATCAACTTCTGGTAGCTCTCTGAACGACTTACTTCTGGCAGGACCAACAATTCAACAAAAAATCTTCAATATACTGCTTCGCTTTCGATTTTTTAAAGTTGCCCTTTGTGGAGATATCTGCAAGATGTACCGTTGCGTGCGTGTCTCGTACCCGAATGATTTCTTGCAGTGCATCGTTTTGAGAGAGAGCTCCAGGGAAGAGTTGAGTGTTTTTAAATTGAACACGGTGACTTATGGAACCAAGCCAGCTGCCTTCTTGGCTATAAGGGCCATGCATCAACTCTCTTACGATGAGGAGGAATCATTTCCTATTGGAGCAAAAATTGTTCGTAGAGATTTCTATGTGGATGATTTAATATCTGGTGGGGACTCAGTTGAGGAGGTGAGAGAAATTCGTCGTCAGGTGAAGGAACTACTGTCGCGAGGCCACTTTCCAATTCGCAAATGGTGTTCGAATGAGTCAGCAGCCCTAGAAGGAGAGTCTGAATGCGACAAGGAGCAGTTAATCAAATTTCACGATGGATCGGATGTCGCCAAGACATTGGGGTTAGTCTGGGATACATCTTCTGATCAGCTCCTATATCATTTTTCTCAACTGCCAACCAATCAACGACCCACTAAGCGGGTTGCATTGTCGACGATTGCCAAATTCTATGATCCACTCGGTTTAATAACTCCTATTATCACAAAATCTAAGATTTTTCTGCAATCCCTATGGAGTGCGAACGTGGATTGGGATGATGCACTGCCAGAGCCCATTCTTTCGTCATGGGGGGAGTTGACCTCACAGTTATCGGTCGTACAGAACTTAAAATTCCCACGATTCGTACTGCAACCAAGGGCTTCCGTTGAGTTGCATGGACTCTGCGATGCTAGCATGTCAGCTTATGGAGCGTGTCTATACTTGCGATCGGAGACCAATGGAGAATCGAAAGTCCATCTGCTCTGTGCCAAGTCAAGGGTAGCTCCATTGAAGGCCTTAACAATTCCAAGATTAGAACTTTCCGCAGCGCTTTTATTGGCTGAGCTAATCGTAAACGCCAAGGAAGCCATAGATTTCGATTGCACCTTTCATTGCTGGTCGGACTCGTCCATTGTGTTGGCGTGGATTCGGCAACCTCCGAGGGAGTTTAACGTTTTCGTATCAAACAGAATCGCGAAAATTCAGGAGATGACGAAAGACATGTCTTGGCATCACGTTCCTACAAACTTGAACCCGGCAGACGTCGTGTCGCGAGGATGTACCCCAAGAGAATTGTTGGAACATTCCCTTTGGACTAACGGGCCTCCATTCCTTCTGCAAAGCTCGTCAAATTGGCCGTCCCTGCTAGACTCAGTAAAGGATCTTCCAGAGCGCCGTTCTGTGGCTCTAATTGGGGCCGTTTGCATAGACAGTTCATCAAACTGCAAATTCCTCAACTCTTTTGATAAGTTGCAGCGCGTATTTGCATACATTTATCGATTCATTTCAAATTGCAGAGCCAAATCTGCGTCGTTAAAAGGTCGACTTTCGGTGGAGAAGATCAACTCTGAAACTGTACTTTTTCTGAGGAGCATCCAACAGGTTAACTTGGCGAAGGAGTATGGATCTCTTAGCCAGGGCAAGCCGTTTCCACAGAAAAGCAAGCTGGTTTCGCTTAGGCCTATACTCGGCTCCGATGGGTTACTTCGCGTGGGTGGAAGGCAAAGGGTGGAAGGTGCAAAGAGAGAGCTTGCCGAGCTGAAAGAGCTCTTTTTGAGCGAGCAGCACACTGCATCGATATCTTCCGTCTGTTTAGCTGATGGGATCGATTGGAAGTTCATCCCTCCGCGTGCCCCGCACTTCGGTGGTTTATGGGAGGCCGCTGTGAAATCAGCTAAATTTCACTTCTACAGAGTCGTCGGTGCATCCATCTTAGCCATCGATGAATTAAGAACTCTGTCCAATTTCAGAAAATGCTGAAAGCCTTGAGGTGCTAACACCGGCGCATTTCCTGAAGGGTTCCAGCTACACTAAGTTTCCTGAGCCTGGCATTACTCATCTCCGCGAAGACCGCCTCAGCAGATGGCAGCGGGTTACCCAGATGCAGCAACATTTCTGGAAATGGTGGAGCAGCGAGTATTTGTCCCTACTTCAAAAGAGGAGCAAGTGGCGCGTCGAAACGTCTAACATAAAGGTTGGACGCATAGTTTTGCTGAAGGAGGACAACGTTCCACCCTTGAGATGGCAGCTTGGATGCATCCAGGAAGTCATACCCGGCGGGGACGGAGTCATCAGAGTAGCTTTGGTCCGCACAGCTACGGGTCTGATCAAGAGAGCCGTCGCCAAGCTAGCCGTTCTGCCCATCGATTCCGAGATAGTTGGAACCTTACTTCTTCCAACG